TAACATTGGCAAGCTTTCCAGGTAATAATATGTGAAGAGATGATATAATCATATCAAATATCAATGCGATTTCTTTCGAATAGTATATATATTCAGAGCATTTTTTCTCTCTCTTTATGATATTGAGTGCAGCAGAATAAATAAGCCTCTTCATATTTTTCAAATATCTCTCTCAAATTGTGGCGTGTTTACATGAATATTTTCTTTTAAAGATAGTACGTGCCATTTTCTAAAGCGAGTTCTTCCAACAAAGAGAAATGAAATAATATATAGTTAGCAGTACAATACTTCAAAATGGGTCACTTTTTAAGTACTCGTTTCCATATTAATGATTGTGCACCGCTCTTTCGGCCGCATATTAAGTGACGGAATAGGTCATTTTGTATTCCACGAAAAGTACAATCAGTTCAGCGAATACTTTTTTTTGTGTTCTCTTCTATTCATGTTTCGAGAATTTTCCATTAAGGTTTATTACAATTTTAATTTTTTAATGTTAAATGGAAAATGATTACTGTATCATTTTGATAGGAGAAGCTTTTTTCTTCTATAATGCTTCCAAATCATTTTTTTTAGAGAAGATTGACCACTGGAACCTCACAATCATATCTGAATATCTTCTTGCCACTTCTATTAGAAATAGTATACCTGAAACTTGCATTAGATTAAGGTTTTCTATTTTTTTTATTAGAAAAAGTGAAATTATTAGTTTGATAAAAAAGGACATTTCAAACTGGACAATTTTGCAGCAATTGTAGTATTGACCAGATATCATTTCAAAGGTATTCGTTGGAAAAGCTCTGTTCATATGGATGTGTAGAGAATTGTATGGATTATCTTTTAAGAAAACATTCAAGTATATATGTCGTAATTTGAGAGTGATATTCTGAAAATACTAAGTGGCTCTTTTATTCTACTGCATTCGATATGTATGTTTCTTTACCTAGAAATTTTGGAAAATTACATTCATTCTCTTCATGTCTTCTATATGAAAGTGTTTAAAAAAAGTATTGTTAACATTTTGATTATTTTGGAAAATATTTACCATAAATTTTTGCATAAGCGGATCCTCCCTTTCTCAATATTTTAGGAGAACAGATCATCAGAAAATTTTTGCAAGTTTCAGCACAAATAAGGCTTGATGAGTGCAGCAAAAATCGTTATAAACTGAAGACTCCTAAATACACCCTTCTAGAAAATAAAAGTTAAACGTAGACGCTCAAGTCATCTTGTTTTCTAAGTAACATGTTTATTTTTACACATAATAGATAATTATTCTTTTTTGTCGAAAAATTGACTTGCTAAAAACAACGAAATAATGTTTTTCATTTTAATGATAATCATACAGTAATAGTTCGAATTAATTTAAACAAAAAAAAAACGACGTATTATCAAGTACTCAACTGATATAGGAGAAACTTTTTGTTTAGTTCTGCGTATTTTAGATTTATAGGCTGATATTTATAATCCAGTTTCTATTTAAAAAAAAAGGACTAGGTAACTGGTAATCTTTGATACCATAAATAGTTTTTGAATATAAATTTAATGTCTAATTTAAATAAAAGATTTCTTTTTAATTTTAATATATAATTATTTTTCTTCTTATGATTTCACGGCATGATCAAATGTATTTTTCATTAAAACATCTTTTTATATAAATATATATTCTTACCTTGTATTTATATATTTTAGAAAAGATTATATGTTTTCGCAACATAAAACCATGCTTTATAAAAGTAACAGTAGACGTTATTGTGTATGCCTGTAAAGAATACGTAAGCAATTCAATGAATACTTGGGTTATTATGAATGTTATTTTAAATCTTCTTACATTGATTAATTCAATTTTAACAATTCTTATTTGTTCGTTTATTTTCTTATTGATTATTATTTTCCATCGACGATCTCATTCTGTACCAGTTTTATTAGCTGGTCATACATGTTCAGCTTTATTAATTTCTGCATTTATGTTAGCAAGTATGGCTACGGCCAGTTTATTTGGATATATGAATATTGTTCTTGAACAACATAGAAATAATATATGGTGTCGCTTACGAGGCTTTTGTATTCATGGATTTCTTTGTGCTCTTTATGATTCGTATATTTTACAAGCAACATATCGTCTTTGTCATGTTGTATTTTATCGTCGTAAACAGTTACATAGTTTTCCTCTTTATTTAATTCTTGTACCTATTGAATCACTTTTTGGTGTTGTAAGTATATCACCTGTACTATTACGTGGTGATGTTATTTATCTTCCATCAGAATATTATTGTCAAACACCATTTACAAATATTCCAGCTATAGTTTATATAGCTATTCGTCTTTTTTTATTACCAATTATGTTTATTGCATTGATTTATCTATGTTTATTAAGATATGTTCGTCAATCAAATTTATCATCAACAACAATGAATGATAATCATAATCGGCGTTCAAAACAAAATAAAAGAGATTTAATTGTGATAAGAAGACTTCTTCTTATGTTAAGTGTTCTTATCTTACTTGGTTTACCATCAATGATATTTTTAACTATTTTTATGTTTACTGCACATCTTATATGTGTAACATATCGAGTGGGATGGTTATCTGTATCATTTTCACTTGTTTTTCTTGCTTATATGCTTATTCAATTAACTGATCCATTGAAGAAAACTCTAAGAAGACATTTTAAACGAAGTTTTCTTCGACAAAATCGTCATCCACCACCATCAAAACGACAAATATCATTACATGGTCAATGATACTGTCATTTCTTGTTTGAAAGTCTGTTAAATTAATATATATATATTCATTGAATTATGAAATACTTCTATTTGCTTATTTTTCTAGAACGATGGAATTTATTAATTCAAGCTAGATTATTATTAACAGTTCATTAAAGTACTGCAAAGAAAAAAAAAACAATATGGCATGAACTTTTCTAATTTCGATAATATAAGATCATCTTCGTTATGATAGAAATACTAAGTGAAAGCATAAATGTTACAATAATAAACATATACAGAGTACTGTATGTATGACTATTAAAGACAAGATATATTGCTAAAATCTTCTGATCTAATATTAAAACAGCTATTATATATTGTAATTTCAGAAGAATTTAAACTAAAAGTTTTTTTCTTTTAGATTTAAATAATTGTTTTTCAATCAATAATTATCTTTTTAATAAACTATTGAAAAAAAAGAACAGTCGTTCAATTCTAAATAAAAATATTCAAAAACAAAAAAAAATAATTTAGTTCTTGTATTATTAAATATTTATTAGCTTGTTCTATCTTATATTGGCTTACTGTGAATGATTATCTCATATAAATATAAAGAATATTTTTCAAATATTCACTATCTTTCTATACATCTATAAATGGGTTTTCCCTAGTTTATAGACATATATGACTTGGATGTAAAAGTTTATAACATAAAAGAAATGAAATGAATAAAACTATTATCCATTTCAAAATTTAAAAAAAGGGTGAATATTTTTGAAATAAGTTTTGATAGGAACGAGATAGAAATCTTCTATTTTAACCGTTGAAAAGAGAAAATAAAACTGCATCAAATCGTTATATACCAGAATTTTTTTTTTGATAAGTTTTCTCAGGGTGTCCCGCCGACTTTTTTTAAATCGAGGCTTGAACTCCTGAAAATTACAATTCTAAAACTTTGACATTATCACAATGCTTTGTTTTTAATAAACTTAATGATAGACTTTGAGAAAGCTTATCAGAAAAATCTGGTATATACGATTCGAGACAGTTTCATGTCATCGTTAAACAGTGAAAACTACAAATCTTTATCTTATTCCTATCTAAATCTATTCGAAAGAAAAACCCAACCTTCTTTTATTTTGATATAGAGAATAGTTACTAAGTGTTTTGTACTACGTAGTTTCCAAATCGGCAAACATATCTGAAAACGCGGTTGAATATATTAATTGTGTTTCCCGTTTGAGCACTTTCACATCCACTCAGAGAATATCGAAACCAATTACCTTCATCATAATAGGTATGTTCAATATTGTAAAAAAATAAGAAGGAACTTTTGTCCGAAAGATTTTCTCACAATATTTTTGACATACACCATACAGTGAATGTCTGGAAAGCGCGTCAAAATATAGCGGAAAAATATGTTTGCACTTTTTTCCAGATGTAAAAGTTGCCTTTTTAAATGTTTTCATGCACCTTTTATAATTAAAGTAGCTGCTTTTAGTGTTGTTTGAATAGATGTATAAACACTCAAACGACAACTATGATTAAGAGGTTCAAACTGACTTTCGGAAATTCTTATTTGCTTAAGTTAAATCTTTTTTTTCATGAAGTTTTTCTGAAGAATATATTTTCCAAATGTTTTAATACTCAATTAAAGTAAATATTTATCAGAGTTAGGATGTTACTTGATGTATGTTCTCAATAACATATGTACATTTTTGTTTAAAACAGAAATTCAATTGGATGATTTTTGCTTGTTATACAAAGTTTATACATCAATTCTTTTAGTGTGTTGATAAATAATAGAAAAATTACAAAAAATAAGTTCAACAACTTATTGTACTTGAACGTAATTTTCTATTGAATAAAACTTATATAATAAAAAAATATATTTCCGCATTTAATAATCCTCAATGAGACAAATAGAAAGAATCTATATTTGATATAGATTTATTTCAATACTGTATTAGAATTATAACAGAAATACTTGAATTTTTATCACAAGTATTCGTTCTAGATATAATAATCATTATATATAAACATAATTTGAATAAATTCTTTTTTCAATATTTAGATAATGAATAAATTAAAATTTTCTATAGACAAATTAATAATTAATTGTTTCAAACTTTTCAAGGGTCTCTCTTATAGTCGAGACTCACCAATGAGATAAATAACTGATTGTAAAAGATTTTATTTTTGAATACTGCTTAAATAAATTTCATATGAACATTGAAGAAATAATATTCATAAAAGTTAGAAGAAAAAAAAAAGAATATTTGATTGAATAAAATGTCATTGTGTTGTTATTTTAAGTGTGTCTATATCATTACCATCACCTATAACTGTCATATGTTTAGTAAGTACTTTACGTGTTGTTGGTATTTGTCGTTCTTGTTTTTGATGTAAATCATTTTGTGTAACTTGTTCATGAATATTTTCTAATTCAACTGTACGATGTAAAGGAGCAAAATTAAGTTGTTGTGATGATGCTGATGATGTTGGCGGTGTTATTGTTGACATCGGCTAGTTATTTCTTTTACACTTGGAGCTTGTATCTGTGTTTGATTCTTTATGTGACTGAAAATAATTTTTTTCTTTTTTCATGAACGGAAAACGCAACGACAGAACAATTCTTCTGCTTTTTCCTTTATTATGTCCGTTTTCTCGGAGTTCTCTTTTCACGATTGCCATACTATTTTACTCTTACTACATTTCATTTAATAATACTAAATTACTTCCTTTTCCTTTTCTCTATGAATGAGCTCACACTGCTTACAACAATCAAGTAATGACAAAGCTATTTTTTTTCAAAAACAACTCATCAATCTTGCTTTTTTGTTTCTTTAATAATCATAAAACATTGAACTATATGAATTCATAAATATTGTTCGATTGTATTTACATAATTGGAAAACCTATCCATCAATGTATATGAGATAGCAGAGAAGACAATGTTCAGTGATGTGAAATAGACCGTAGAACAGGAAAAGAATACAGGAAATGAAGAAAATGAATTAAATAAATAAAAATGAAAAGAATATAGGAAAGAAAACAGAAGAGTTATAAAAAAATACTTAATAAAAATCTCAAAATAGAAACTACGAGATACTTATCAAATTGAATGATGGTAAAAACAAGATATAATATCAAAATATAATAATTAATAACAAACTAATTCGAAATTGAGAAGTATCGTTTGAAAGAAACATAAAAATTATACGAAACGAGAATTTATCTGAAATTCTTGTTGAATTATCATAACACAATTATGATAACAGAAACTATTTAACGATCGTGAATCTCTCACGAATAGAAACTATAAAAAACAGTAAAATCTCTTCAATAAATATTTACAAAAAACGGTTAACATTTTTAGATCGAGAAACTTCTCAAGAGATGTCACCTGTGATTGTTAGTGTGACTCTCTGATGAGTAACAGCTACTGATTCAGATCAACGCGTTAATCATAAGTTTAGAGTACCTAAAATAAAACAACGTTATAGCTTTGAATTGAAGAAGAAAAATATCGACGATTGTTAAGAATTATTTAATATTTTCTTAGAAGGATTCAGTCTTTTTCATTACATACGGTATGTAAAACTATAAAACATATATTGATGAAATGTGAATTTTCTTTTTGATCAATTTGACTGTCTCTCAAAAAATATGATAAACAAAGCTTAATAGATAAACTATTATATATATATTTATCGAAATATTCGATATAAAGTTGATTGTATTGTTGATGAATTTTCTGAATATAATCATCGTTTGGACATTGGATTTTATTGTTCATTCTTTTGTTTTAATGAAAGTTATTTTTTTCATGACTTTCTATATTTTTTTTTGTATAAAAATAGAACACAGAATCGTTCGTGCGCAAGCACATTACCTAGTTTGGCTTCGAAAAAAAAACAAATTTATTCCACATCAGAAGATATTGATTAAAAATAGGTACAATCTCACTAAAATCCATTCACTATATTGATTACTTTTAATCATGAAAGCATAACAATACAATTTTTCTGTTTTAATCAACAATCATTCAATAATTCTTATAAATTAATAATCATTTCAATGGATTTAAACTCAAAAAACAAAAATATTTTTTTCTATGACTAAAACACGAAAAAAAATTCTTATCATGTATATTCAAAACGGTATTGGTATTCTACTAATACTCATTATTATCCATTCTACTGTAGACTCTGCAGTAATTAATAATTCTAAAAACTACAAAACTTTTCTTACCTCATATGAATCATATAAGGCCTTTATCAGATGTCAATTTATTTCAAATCAAATGTTTATTTTATGAATAGTAAGATAATGCCTATTCTTCTTCCTCCGCCTTAGCGTGTATCAAAATTACTGCTTTTGTTTAGATCCTCTAGACTTCTAGCTGAATAGAAAAAAGCTCCCGTGACTTTTTCTCTCGAAATTCAATTTAAAATATAAAAACAAAACAGACCACGCATTCTTCAAAACCAAGCGGGTTTACCTTGACATGTAAACATTTCTGATTAGTAATCTAACGTGTACATTTTCACTTGTATTTCTGTAGTCGCTTTTGGTAAAGAAATACAATTCAGAAATGAATCATCCCTACATTCTAACGAATAAAGAAAGAAAAAAAAAATTTTAGTCAAGTTCAAAAAAACAATGAATATACGCCTGTACTTTATGGTGTAAAAAAACATAGTATTATTGCATTGAATACAAGCAATTTATCACAAACAAGACATAAAATCACCAAGGACAATATGCACTATTGACAGCTTTTTTTTTGTCTTTTTACAATTAAAAAATATATTGTAAATAGTTGATTTTGAATCTGGTGAACAGAATCAAACAGAACGAAATGTATTTTCAAAATAACAAATAATTACACTGAAAAAGAAAAATGACTCATGTATACCATTGAATATAAAAGGTTCAATAGATTATTCGATACTGATTGATGAGGTAGAAAATAATAAGAAAAACAAATTAAAACGTGCCAAAAAAAATACCAATATAAAAGACTTTATTGAGGGATAAAAAATAACTTTGTTAAAATAGACATTTACAAGGATACTATTGATATGGTAATTAAATTGTCATTATACACACTATCTTCCAAAGTAAAGTATATACCATCACGTGTAAAAAGAAAGAATAATAAGAGCAACCATAAAAAGTAACAAATAGTTTATTGAATACAATAACTATGTAATTATTTTTTTTTTACTTAACAAAAATTCCTCTTTTTAATAATCAATGGTTTACTTAGCATTTTCTTTTTTTTTTTTTTGTTATGAAAAATTCAAATCAAATTTGAAAAAAAAAAGACCACTTTACATTTTCAATCAAAAGAAAAACGAAACCTATGAACACATGTTTTATATATTTCACAGAACTTCCCTAGATCAATATACTAAAGAAACATATGTTGTACAGATTTTTAGTTCCCATAAAATTCTTCTCGATGGGAACTACAGGTTGCCTTGCCCAATGATTTTTTTTTTCTTCAATCAAAAAATATGTAATAATTTCGTTTTTCGTTACACAATCAAAACTCAATAACCATCTCTCATGTACAATATGATTCAAATAGAGTATTGCAGTTACCCGACTTGTATACCATAGAATCTTTAAAAATAGTATGATGTCTATTTACCATACTATTCACATTGATACAGAAAAGAATAAATAATTACAAACTGAGTCATTTTGTCAATGTCCTTTTCTTTTCTTTTTATATCGAAATAACGAAATATCTCCTCATATGTTATCATTGTATGCCAGCACAAAAAAAGAAAAAAAAAAAATTTCTTTTTTTTTCTTTTTCTTCTCAAATTTTGCATGATTATTATTAACGCCTAAAGTAAATTTTCAAATTTTCTTTTCGTACCCACAGAAAATGAAACGAAAAAAAAAAGAGAAAAAAATCGTAAGGACAAAAAGAACATAGAAAAAAAACATTCCTTTGCTATTCATTCGTAACCTTCAGCTAAATCGATTGTAGATTTGAACGTTTTTTTTTTATTCTTCGTATTCCCAATGAAATACAAACAATGTAAGTTAGTAATACTATTTCAGAATAGTTTACATTTGTTTTTTTTAAATAGTATATCCAAAGTCCGCTCGATCAACCGAATCATTGATGAGTGTTAATCAACAGCGAAAACGTTGCTTATTATGTGACTCATTATTAAAAAGTCATCGTTACTTATTATTGGGTAAATCTATTGAAGAATTCATCATAATTAACCATAATAAAACAATAACTTATGCTGAATGTTGTCGAAAATATTTAAATGAAAAACATGCACTTAATAAATTCCATATTATCTGTTTAAAATGTTGTGATAATTTACAACGTCTTTATACGTTACATCTAGATGCTGAAGAAGTAACTAAAAAACTACGTCGAACTTTTCATAAAACGAAGCGTTTAAATCAAATTCGTCATTCTCATTCGAAAATTGAAACAAATATTGAAATTAAAGAAGAATCATTACCAATAGAATTAGTATCAGCACCTGTTATTTCAAATGATTCCTATATACATAATCATGTACAACCATATGATGCTACAAAACATGTAAATAATCTTTATATTAATTAGTATTTTTTAATAAATTCATTTTATTTTCTAGATTCCAATATCAAATATTCCAAGTATTCATTCAGCATTTATTCCTCCACAAGTATTTTCAAATGAACATCAAAATTATTTGTATCATCATTCAATGAATAATATATCTTCAGTATGATTGATGAATACTAATGAAAAACAAAATTGTTGTTTTCTTTTCGAAAATTTTAGTTGCCTTATGCTCAATTTCTAATTGAATCACCAATGCCGACAAATTTTTCTCATCAACAACAAGAGAATGATTCCAACAATCAACAACTATCGATCGGTTTGTTTTCGTTTTTTTATTGTGTCTTTTTAAGAAAAGAATTCAAAAATACATTTTGTTTTTCGTCTACTACTTGGCCAAACATATTTTTTTCCTCCCAATGATTTCTTGACAGCGGAAATTTTTATGTTGAAAAATAAATACTTCATTAATAACGTTGTTTTCACTTCAGCTAACATTTTCAAGGTAGAAGATTTGTTTTTAATGAAAAATTATACTTGAGAAAATTTATATCTAGCTACGCATTTGAATTATTGATAAATATTAAGAATATTTATTTATAAAAATATATTTTCTATTTACAGATGATGAACGATCACTTTCACCATGTACAAATGATGATGAAAATGGTACAAAAAATCCTCGTTTAACTCGTCGTCAATATGAATTTTTAACTAAACTACCCGATCAACAATCATTAAATGCTTTTATAGAAGCGTCAGCATCAGAATCTAATTCTCGTTGGACATGGCGTCGAACATCAGCTAATTCACGTGGATATAAAATTTATTATGTATGTAATTTTTCAATGCGTCGTCATTATCATCCATGTCCTGCTGCAATGTATGCACTTTTTAATCCAGAAGGAACTATCTCAATTTATGCCCATGG